TAATTGTTAACTAGACAGGCAAGATCAGTTCTCCAAATATTAGTTTCTGAAAGACTTTGATACCAAACAGCTACATAAAACTATTAATAGCAGTTCTATTTAGATTAAAACAAAGTGTAAACAAGTTAAAAAAAAGTTCAGTACTGCAAGTGACACTACAAAGAATAAAATCCTGCAAATGTTTACTTTATTTATTTATCATTTCTTTCCTTTACCTTGCATACCATGGAGCCACAGGTTGGACTGTACCACTTTTCCAGCCCTTCTTGTGCTATCTTATAGGGCCATCATAGTTATGAGGGTTTTTTTTATTGTTTTCAATCAAAGCATGCCCTGGGCTATTAAGGTCATGTTTTTCGATATCTATTATTACTGACTGAGCAGTAGGGCTGGGTTGCAAATGTCATAGTCAAGAGTTAAATACTCTCCTATTCAGCCTGAAGTAATTTCATCAATAGGTAGATTACTACAAGACTGTTGTTCTTTCTCTTTCTTCTTTTCTTGTTGCCTTTATCGGGCCCTGATCTCAGTATCACATATACAACCCTTGTATAAAGCAAGTTACGAGGAGAATTACTTTCTGTTCAACTAAAAAGTTTGTGCCACTAACACCTTCCTGAGGGGAGTAATTTTGTGGTTGTTGGTAAGGTTTGTCTTAGAGTAAGTCAAATCAGGAGGGAAAGCAACATCACCCCAAAGTGGTTTTCTTCTTGTGAAGCGGAGATGCAAATCAGAAACGAATGCAAAACTTGCCAGTTTCTAAGGGTCAACTTATGCACACCCATCTTGCATAATTCTTTATCCAAGGTAGATTGGACTGAGGAAGCCTGAAAGAGCGCCATGCTAAAAATAGGCATTAACACGCTTGGTAGAAATGTTGGATTTTTTCCACAAATCTCTTCAATAACAGATAATGAAGTGAATCCCTCCATTCTTAAGCTGTGATTCCATGCCACATGGACTTAAAAAAATCTTTTGAATGACTCAGACTTCTTCAGATATTTTGCTAGGGTCTTTTACAATGCTGTCTGCCTGCTTGGCCTCCTGAATAAGGTGCTCCACTGTTCTTTCATATTCATCTTTTCTATCTTTGATGAAAGACATTTGGGGAAAGTGAGATAGAGTGGAATAGGCAGGAAGAAGCCTCCTAGCGGTGAAAAGAAAAATATCAGTTACTAATACAATTATCTTATTGTTTGTAACAACTGCAGACTACAAGCAGTTCCTCCTTTTTGCAAAGTTCATAGCCTGGGTTAAAAAAGAAAATTCACATTCACATTCAGAGTCTTTAGCAGGCAAAAAAAAGTGCTTGAGACATTTCAACTACCTGATGTGGTCCCTGTTTTCATTTAACAACATCTGAACACTCTGTTCACTGCCTTGTAATTCGTCTGCAACTTTCCAGAATATGGAAGCAACTCTAAGGTTTGGAGTCATCTTCACCTATTAGTAAGTGAAAAAAATGAAAGTAAATTTCAACAAAATTCATATTTAAAATCAAGTTATACCTGTCTTGTGTAACAATTATAATAAACTACAAAAAGACAAAACAAAAGAACAAAGAGTGGACTTTGTGGAAAATTGAGTAGGGTCTAAGGTGTTGAAGTGCCGAACAAATTTGATATATAGACACAAGTAGACACATATGTAGAGACAGACACCCAGAACAACAAATCAAAAAATTTTACACGCTGTTTATGACCCTGAAAACCACACCCAGCTCAGTGACATTTCCCTCTCTGGAACTCAATTTATAATTCAGCAAACATTAACTTAAAACACTCTGACTTATGCTTGTAATTGAAACAGAACAGGACTTTTACTACCAGTACCTGTGTAATCTCCACATGGAAATCTCCCAGGACAGGACGTAGAGCAGGTTCCAGCTCTGGACCATTCAGCACATCCTGAATGACTCCAAGTAAAATGTCAGACAATACATGCTGTCTGACAGTGTCTGGGATGTCTGGGGCATCATCCCCCTCTAGGGGGTCCAACTCAAAGACATCATAATGTTTCCATGGTGGGGATGGCTGTGTTCGATAAAGAATAAGATTGAACAACGATCATAAAAATTTATTTACACTGCTAACTTATCATTACACAAGAGTTATAAACATTTGTAAACATTTTAGTTTTTTTGCTATGGAAAATGAAGGGGTACTCATAAAATTCAGTTTGGTTCTGTTCAGACATGGCAATATCTACATGAAACTAAAATGATTGCAAATCACATTTTTCTCATTATTTTATCATTTCTGAATTATTACCTTCCTCCCTTGGCCTGAATTTTTCCTAACAATAAAAAATGAAATAAATGATCAACTAGAGATGCTACACAAAGGAAAGTTTGTTTTTATTTTATTGATTTATTTCATTTTATCCTTATCATTATTGAACGCTGGGTGGCAGTTAAAGGTTTGGTTCAGCCCACTTTTAACTTTCACCCGTCCCCTGCCAGGGAAGCTGTGTAACTGATCAATGGCCCTCTAGAAGGCCACTGATGATCATGCTATATAGCATGATTCCAATTTTCCTATCAGTTTCTTGAGCAATCTAAACAAAGCTGACTTACTTTGGTTTTCTCTTCCTTGATCCAATCGAAAACTTGTCTTTATACTTAGGAGTGGAGAGAGCGGAAAATATCCTTTGAGGAATAAATTGGTTCTCGAAGTTCTTCAAAAAGATTCTAGGGCAGGTGAAAATTGCAAAATTAAACAGAAGTCGAGATCTCCAAAAACACCTCATTCCTTCATTCCTTCTCGATTTCTCGATACAGCCCGATAAAACCTTAACCTTTACAACGTCTGGTCTAGCTAAGTCTAGCTACAACTTTTAAAACCCTTAATTAACTTCTTCAGGAAATAAGTAACCGCGCTTTTACGCCTCAGCAACCAGGCATAAGATTCAAAATGGCGGACAAAGACAAAGATTTTCCCAAGCCAAAAAGAGCTAAGAAAGAGCTCCGAAAATATCCTAAAATGCCAATATGGATATGCGAAAATCACGACGAGGTCCTCTACTATATTCATAGAGCTATTGCATCGAAGCATATCGTATACGAAGGAGTAACTGTTCTTCACTTTGACTCCCACCCTGATCTCACAGTTCCTGCAAAGATGAAGGGATGCACCGTGTTTGAGCAAGAAAAACTCTACGAAGAGCTTAGTATTGCGGACTGGATTCTTCCAGCTGTCTTTGCAGGACATGTTAATAAGGTTATCTGGGTCAAACCACCGTGGGCAGATCAAATTAGCGAAGGTGTATTCAACTTGAAGGTTGGCCAACACAAGGAAACCGGCTTTATTAGGTATGATACGACTTCGACTTTGTGTGTCCAAAATGTTCCAGGCATTAAAATATTCAATGGCAGAGCACTTAATGAGCGGCTAAAATCCATGATGACGACACTCACGTCGTCAGTGAAACGGCAAAACGTAGTCTGAGGTGTCCCTTTGTCATCACACCAGTAACGAGTTTTGGCAGCTTGAGAATTCAGATTACTTGTTGAGATGTATGAGCATCCACAGACTGTGGACTACTTAATCATAAAAAAAAAAAAAAATTGAATAAAACCCTCCATGATTGATCTGCCCATCAAAAAAGCAATTATCCAAGCCACAGTTTTTCTTCATCTAACACCATTACATATCGACAATTTCAATCACTTTTCAATCTCATTTATCACAAAATGTTTCAAACCCATCCTAAAGATGTTTACTGTAATCTGCGCTGAAAGTGATAGGTAGGTAAAGTTTGCTCTCAAGCCAAGTGTTCCATCCAGCCAGGGTTTATCTGGGTTTCTGTAGCTTGAACAGAATTTAAATAATGCTACTCCTCCCTGGATGGGATGTTAGCCCATCACAGGTAACCCCCAGGATTTTGTCAGCTTTCCCTAACAGTTTGCTAGTGCCTATTTACACTCCTGGTTGAAGGGTGGCACTGTGAAAGTAAAGTGTTTTGCTCAAGAACACAACCTTTTGACTCATCTTTATCTGTCTAGTCTAGTCTAGCCCTGGAATCTTTGCACTGCACTTTAGGAACTCTGGTTTTATTCAACTATTTTTGCTGGTTTTAAGGAAGTTCAAGTTACAAAGATTACAGTTATAACAATTCCACATAGTGGTCTCTGAAAATCCAACTACCCTGTAAGTATAATTTGGATATATCAGCAAAGTTGAAATGGTAAATTGGCCACTGTAATGATTACAAAAGCTGACGTTTTGAGCGTTAGCCCTTCGTCGGAGTGAAACTTTGTCGATATATCCAAATTATATCCAAATTGTTGATATATCCAAATTATTTCATTACTCCCACCGACGCAGCCCCAAGCAGTTTCTTTCAAAACTATCAGCCTTTACCCTGTATGTAGACAGCAGCTGTATAGTTAATGCACATTGCTCTTTTTTTTTTTTTCGATTATTCAGGGTGGCATGCACTGAGACGTATTTTGTAGAGGAGCTACTTTATGCAGATGAAGACTCCCTTGAAAACTGCAAAGATCTGGAACTTATTGTGTATGCTCTCAAACCTAGCTCAAATCAAACCAAGGAACATAATGCAACCCTGGAGAAAGGGAACAAAGTCTCAAAGGCATTAAATGGGGAGAATAATGATAATGATAATAAAAACACCACAGCAATGGATCATTAACAGAGCAGAGATGCATTTGAATCATTACTTCCATCTAGCAGAATAACTGCTCTTGAAAATAACTTTATACTTGATATAGACATGGACTTTTTTTCAACCCAAAATCCTTTCAAACTGCTTTACACAGAGGTAAATAATAAATCATAGCGTCCTGTGATTACATTATCACAAGGTGACTTTCACAGCAGGTGTGTTCCCTTTTAGGAGGAGTTCCAGTGTCTCAGAGATATCTATAGATTTGAAGAACCTCTCTCAACAAGCAGGAAGGTGAGAAATTTGAAAGATAGCACTTTTATTTTTGGTACACTATTGAACTTCATGATAATTTTAAAATTTAGCTTCAAGAATGAGTTAAAGGGCTGCAATAGCATCAACCACTGATTATTTGATGGTCAGTGTGAAATTATGTTGAAAAAACGTGGAGGTTTATAGATTTTGTTGAATGATGTTTATTTATGCAAATTTTGTGGCACATTTTCAAGATATTCCCACAGATTAGCCACGCCCTTAATTTATTTTGAAAATTTTGGGAGAGAAGGTTTGGTTTATCTTCTGCTTTAGGTCTACTGTGTTGATTTTTCTGGTTTTATCTTTTAAACCATATGGGTGCACACCATTTACTCAGTTTTATGCTGTGGTAACCAAATTTTATTCAGTAATTGAACTTTCTATCATACCCCAGGATTTAGATAGCTGTGTAAGATTACGGAAAGCTCAAGTGGACAAAATTGAGGCAACCTATTCATATCTGCAAGAACAATCTTCTTCCTGCAGTGATGGGAAGCTATGTATGAAAACATTATCTGAAAGTTGTCTGAACCAAGATTTGGTGAAGCTGATAGAAATGATAAAAAATCACAAAGGAGAGGAGCCTGATTATGAAATGGTATAAGTAATTGTTGCTTTCTTTGTATAAAGTAAATATTTTTGGATAATTATTGTAGGGATCCCTGGGTGGTAAGTGAACAAGAGTAAGTCTGGACAGCTGCAGGAAAACTTGAGTGATGAAGAACAGTACTTACAAATATCTTTGTTTCATAGATTAAAAGAAAAATAAAAGAAACCTGGTACATAAAACCAGTGCAAAACCAGTTTAATATTGCAATCATGTTAGAGTAATTAGTTTGCAAACCTTTATTAAACATCAAAGTCACAAACTAGATTTCATGTTGTTGTGCATCTGTTCAATAAAAGAGCATGTTAAGCACAGCTGATTACTGATGTCACTTATATTTTCTCTATATTTTCTTTACTTTTCTGGTTTACCACTAAACCAGGGCCACTCTTCTACTCTCTCCCCCCCCCCCCCTCCCTCCAGAGATTATTGTAGCAATACTTCCACTCCATTCATGTTTATTCTGATTGTTAGAATCTGTTGATTTTAATTCAATGTTTTAAAATCTGTTTTGTTTTTTTTTTTTAATGAGTGTGCTAGGGAGGGAGAATACTTGTTTAGAAATTTTGAGATCTTTTATCCTAATTGCTACTTGTAAATATGCTTTTAATCATCAATTTTGTTTTTAGAGGGCTGCTAGGGAGAATACTTTTTATAGTAATTGGTGTCACCCTCTTAAATAAAGGTTTACTAAACTCAAACTCAGCAATATGAAATTTATTTTTTGTTGTCACCAACTTTTTGAAAAATACTTTTAGCTAATTTTAGAAAAACACCTATTTGCTTTTTAGCTGCACTTTTCAGGGATGTCTTCCGATATTCCTCATCATGTGAGTTCTTCAGAAATGATTGACAGCCTGATACAATCTATGGCAGCCATGCTGAAATCTCTTCCAAAGCCAACCTTTATCACTATGGCAAGGTATGAAATTCTGCTGTTTTATTCTATATTCTGAGTTTTTTCTCTTACATCGTGGGAAACCTAAGGAAAATTAACCCTTTTCCCAGGGCCACTCTTCTACTCTCCCCTCCCTCCAGAGATTGTAGCAATACGTCCACTCCATTCATGTTTGGCTTTCACAGCAGTAGGTTTCTGTTTCTTGTAGCCAATGAAAGTCTTGCCTAGCATATTGAAGAGAACTATTAGGACTTTCTATCGGCCGCATGAGGGATTTATTCCTATCGTTTTCGTTTTTGCTTTTATTATTTTATATACTTTTTTATATACTTTTTACACTGTCTATTGTTTACATAGTTAGTGTTTGTGTATATCTCGTAAGGGCACACTTAATTTGGAGCCTCACTCTGTTGTGTGTCCCACACCCTTGTCCTCCGTTCTCTTCTGTGTCTTGTTCATATGTATATTTTAGTCCTTTTAGTATTGTAAGTATGGTGAAAGCGATTAAATAAATAAATAAATAAATAAATAAATAAGAACCAGAAGTTACCAGTGAGAAGAGGAAACCTTGAGATGAAGCCTTACTTAGTCCTTTACATTTTGATTTTAGGTCATCTTATGATGAATATACCCCTCCAGATCAAGTGGAGCATATTCAGTCTTCTCTTCTGAGAGTTATTTCAAGTCTATATGGTGAGGACATAGCGGTAAACAAGTGCTATCAGTAAAGAAACGATATGGATTGGAATGGATCTTCTCCTTGGACACTGGATATGTTTGTGGGATCTCACGCATAATTACAAATGAAATAAAACTCCCAATGACCCGTGTTTCATCTGAGTGTCTTAGCAATTACAGTAACTGTCCGTAATTGATTACGTGTTCAATAGTGCAGAAACGTACTTATCTCTTACTAACCTTTTTTTTTGTCTACACTGCGGGTTACGGACCGAGTTTTTCCACGTGGATTTTTATACCCTAACGCAAAGCGTGTAATGGTGGTGGGTCCTGGATACAAGTCGTTGTCATGAGATCGATTATTAAAGATAATGAGTGAAAAAAACTCTTACAACAAGAAGAACTAATAAATCGTAAAGATTAGATGCACTTATTTTATGAAATATAAACGGACTTTGGCAAGGAAATTCTATGTCCGTTGTTATAGAGCGGAGGAAAATGAAAAAAAAAATTGGAATTTTATTTTCCCACGAAAATGAAAACTGGTTGTTACTAAGTAACACGAGTTGAAATGAATTATCGATCCTCCATAGCCCTCTGTGAAGGATAGAAAAAATTGATATCTTATCTTCCACAGTTTGAAGTAAGAGCTCGAAGTACGTTCTATGCAGCTCAATAGATAGAAAGCTTTCGTGACAAGCGAGAAAGCGCCACCTTCCATCAATTCATTTCCCGAGTTTCGAGTGGCTCATTGTCACTTTGATGAACGTGAGCCGGGAGGCTCAGTCAGACGTTTTATCGGTGTACTATTCTTACTATTCTGTACTACATTCTTTATAACAAGGCATGCTCTGGTGCAAGTTTACAGTGAATTTAATTGTGGCGCAGTACATAAAAAAGTGTCTGAGCAAACGCCAAAAGTTGAGCTGCGGGGTGAGACAGACGCGCATCCTGTTCAGGGCGGAGAGAGGGTGGGCAAATAATAATAATATTAAAAAAAAAAAAACAGAACAAAAATCCATCTCTTAGTTTCTGTTTAGAGTTTATTCCAAGACGATTGGAAAATCTTTACACGCCTCGAAAATTTCAGGCCTTCAATTCCAGGAATTAATTGTTGATTTGCACGACTAGATCATAATAGATAGTTTTATGTTCGATTAAAAAAAAAAAAAAGAAAAAAAAGCAGCGGACAAGTTGTTCATCAAAACTACGTTCTAAGCCTACAGATTTTGTTCCTTGATACTAATCAAAGCAAGACGCTTACAAGCTTCCTTGGGTAAACGTGATGCGTAACCGAACAATCCTCTTTTCTGTAGCACAAAAACAAATCGCGATTTCCGTCTACCACCTCCACATGGAAACTATGGAAGAAAAACAAAATTCAGATCCGGTTTTTAGAAAGATAGATAAAATAGGACATAGGTGTAAACTGCATTCGAATTCCGTATTTGACCTAGCGGCGACTACAACTGGAAAAAAATGATAATGGGGTGACACAACTATGTAGAGGAGGATAGTGGAAAGCTCGGTAGAAATTGCGAAAAATGATTTGAATTTCGTTTTCTAATTCCCACTCATTTGAAAATCGATTAGCGTAAAGGTAGACTGATTCATTAGCCTTCGTCTGGCAATGCTAGATAAACAAACATTATTCAGCCCTGAGGAAGATACAAATTCATATAATTGGCTGATTTTTTCGGTTGCTTTCAAACCCAATGTTTATGGATTTGAAATCAAATCAAAATGATGCGACGAGAGTTGACAGTTAAAAGAATTTTTCGAACCCAAAGTCGTTTTATTCATTTTATACTTCATTCTATTGTATTTCTTATTGTTATTTTCAAGGAGCCTAAGGGATTTAAATAAATCCGTCCTGGGAAAATCTCCCTAACCGCTGATTAAACTCGAGTTATCACCGATGGTTGTTTCAATATTTACTTGGAAATCCAAATTTTGCTTTCTTTTGACCTCGGAAGAGAAAAAGCGCTCGATATGATTGGTCTATTTCTTGACAATATTATTACGCGTAATGCTCGTATATAATTAGATACCGGAAGATTTCCTGACAGTGAAAAAAGCAATCACAAAAGACCCCTTCAAGATACAAACAAGGATAACCGTTTTGATGAAGTGTTTCTCGGCTCAAATTTTCGTATTGCTTACCGTCTTCTGAATCGTCTAACATCACCGACGTTGTGGTCGTTTCCTAAGTTATCGTGAAAAAAAAAAACGTTAAAAAACGTGAAAAACGTGAAAAAACGTGAATGTGACACTGTCGTGGCCTAAGAGAAAACTGTAGTTGTCCGCGGAATAATTCACTTCTGTTTTGCGAATATGTTAGCGTAGGAATCAATGAGATATGTTTGTCACAAAACAGCTACGACAACACGTGTTCTTATAGAGAAACAGTAATGATAACTCGGGCTTTTTTTTAACAAGTTTGGCTGTGCGGAGCATTTGCTACTTTGATAAAGTCAGAGGTATCGTGCTTTGATCATCCCACAAATTTTTGCTAAGAATTTCTTTGTTTGTTGGCCAAGGAGAAAGCGAGAACTGACAGGCAAAACCAAAGTGTCGCCTTTCTGACGGGAGGAAACCAGCGGTTTCCCAGACATAAGCGTAATGAGCCGTTAAATGGCAGGTTTTCGCCAACGAAAGCCAAGTGGAACAAGATATAAAGACGAAAGGTTCAATAATGTTTGGAGATTGCTTTCCTTGTCTGTAAGTACTGAAAATTTTATGTTTGCTGATAAAATAAAAACATCCGCCTTTAGGGCGCTAATAGCACCGACAGAAGCGCATCGGAAATCTTTGTTGCTTCATTGTAACTGATTTCAATAACATTTGATAAAACGAAAAAAATATTGCTTCAGGGTTGAACTCGAAAAGGTTCTAAACATCACTTGTTTAGATAATAACCTATACAAATCAATTTCAACAACTTGGATGAATTGATTAATGTATCGACAGAACTGAGAATCAACTTAAATCAGCGAATTAGTGTACTTTATTCCCTCATTTTTTTTTTTTATCAAACAGGATAATGACAGATTTGCTCAGCTTGTTCTTTTTTCATGTCGCTGTATTTCTTCATTACTTTTACACTAACCGAGTTACTGACGAATAAAAGAGTAAAGGTGTTTTTTTTGCAAAAATCATGCAAGCTGTAGTAAAATCATGCGCAAAATTTGGTTAATTTGAATCTGATTGTCGATCCAAAGTCTGAAAAGTCAAAACGAGTGACGAAAAGGTGAACGATAAGTATCGAGGTCTGCGTGCTAAATGTTTTGAGCCGTTTTTTTCGCTCTGATCTTTATTAAGTACGATTTCGATTGAGCCTGCGTTCAAAATAAGGGTAATAGCATTTCCATCGATTACACAGGGCCATTCGCCTCTTTATGTTATTGTTTGATATTGGCACCACATTCGTGGGTAATGCTTTCTCATTTCAGGATTAATTAAAAGCTAGTGTTATTGAAGAAAAAAAAAACTAAATTGATAAAGGTGTCATACTGTAAGGGAGACATATCAAACGGTTATTCAGTGTTGTTTTGCGACAAAAACAAAACTGCAACAATTTTGTCGTTTGAGCCCAACTGATTTTAGGTTTTAAAGTTCATACAACACGTCCTTATTAATAATGGTAAAAGGACCGATTGGAGTCCAATTCGTTCTGTTATCATACGAGTTATTGGACCAACTCGGACGACTGCAAAGCGGGAGTATGATTTGTTTGTCACGAGTATGATTACAGACCCAATTGGACAACACGAAGTCCTGTTGCCAATTGATCATAATTATTATATGGCTGTGTCTCACAAGGACTGGGAACTACCGAATTCACGAATTTAATTGGCTGAAATCAATATTGAAAGCGGTCTAGATTTTCCCATCTAGACCGGCATCTAGACCGGTCTAGAAAAAAAAGGTACAAAGAATATAAAAAATTGGCATATAAGACACAGCCATATAAGAAACATCTTATTAACCGAGCTAGGTCGGTCTGTATGGGAGAATCTTGACCTCGGTCGCTTGTACAGACCGAACGCTCGGTTAATAAGAACTAAGTATTAAAATTTCCGGAAAAAAAAAAACAAATACAGTTAGGGAAAATATCTCAGGTAGAAACAAAGTCTAAAATGAAAAATTCCTCCATTTTGAATTCTGTTTTCAGCCGAGCGGACTTAGTATGATTGGCTGCTTAAACTGTCCGAATACAGGTGTCTGATTACAGCCAACTGTCTGATAACACTGTCAGATTACAATTCTATAGAGTAATTAGTGAAAAATAAAGCAGCTAATGCACCAATCACATTTGAGAAAACTGTGATGGTTATGATTAAAGACAATAATTAACACGAACATATTTACATAAACGTATAGTTTTCAACAACGTTGGACATAATACAAGTCTCGTATTATCGCTTTTCGATTTAGTGTCGTAAAATTAAAACCAAAGTAATTTTCTTGACCCATTTTCAATATTGAGGGTCGAAAGTAATCCTGGATTGCTTTGTTTTCGTTTTACTAAACCCTGTGATTGGTCAAGAAAACGCCCGCCATTTTCTCAACAAACCATATATGCAAAACTAAAACGGACCACGACTTGGTCACCCACGTTTTCCCGCGCTTTAGGCAGTTAGGTCGGCTGGACTTTGAGCTCTCATTTTTCCTGCACTTTAGGCAGTTAGGTCGGTTGGACTTTGTGCTCTCATTTTTCCCGCGCTTTAGGCAGTTAGGTCGGTTGGACTTTGGGCTCTCATTTTTCCCGCGTTTTAGGCAGTTCTAGGTCGGTTTGGCTTTGAGCTCTCATTTTTCCGCGCCTTAGGCAGTTAGGTCGGTTGGACTTTGTGCTCTCATTCTTCCCGCGCTTTAGGCAGTTAGGTCGGTTGGAATTTGTGCTCTCATTTTTCCCGCGCTTTAGGCGGTTAGGTCGGTTGGACTTTCTGCTCTCATTTTCCCCGCGCTTTAGGCAGTTAGGTTGGTTGGACTTTGAGCTCTCATTTGGCTCTCAAAGGTATTTTCATTTCTTTCTGTCTGTTGTGATTTCTTTGGTTTTGTTTTTCCAAGATCAAAGGTAAAGTTGCAACTAGGTCACGTAATTGTTTTCAGTTTTTCATCCGATTGAGAACAGACAGGACTGGAAAGCTCTTGAATTCGCTTTGTGTTTGCTTTAAAATACACTCATCATCCTCTCTAGTCAGGGAGCAGAAACCGAAAAATGGGAGTTTCGTTCAACCATCGCCACAGAAAATAATTGACACCTGATTCTTGTAGAGAAAGACCTCCTGATCAAAGCCAGGTAGTTCGTAAAGTTGAATTGTGGTATACGTTTGGAGTTAAGGGGATGTTTTCTTGGCCAGCTCACGGATCAGCATGGAAACGAGCCTACACACTCGAACGCAGTTTACATCGCTATTTCTTCGTAAAAATCAACGATTTCAACCACTTAATCTAAACTTCGTATATACATCTGCTTTATTTGTAAGTGGTAAAGTATGTCACGTGATTTTAAATGTGACCAGTAACAAATGTGCGACTATTAGAAACAAACGAGCGTTCGCCGTTGTTTTTAAGGACAACCTCGCAAAAACGAAATACGAATCCCGTCTTTATTAACTTAACTTTCTTTTGCTCTTGCTATCGTCCTAGCAAAAACTTTGGGAATTAAAACGGTTCACTGTATATCATTTTTTATCAGTTTTGATCTAGCACGCAAATGAGGCTAGTCCCTTGGAGGCAAACAAACAAAAATTATGACTCACATGAAAATGAAAAAGAAAGAAAATATTGCCGTTATTCGTTTTTGATTTACGATATTGCAACTTACGGATATATGACTACAATACTAATAAGAACAATGAGAGTAATTATTTTCACTCAGAACTAGAGTCCTCGGAATCAGAGTCAGAAACAAAGTCTAAGAGGACTCCATGTGGATTTCTACACATGTCACTGCTGGCCATTCAATAACATGCCTCTGAACATGATAAGCCTGTGTTGTCACATAAGCAGTTGCTCTGAAACCCACTCTGACATGTGCTAGTCGTCAGTTCCAACAGGCTACTCGGCGCTGGTTCTTTTGTCATGTAAACCGGCTTTAGTGAGGAGTCTTCTCTCACCCATCCATTACTTTCGGGCTGCGGGAGATGCTGGATTGCAGTCAGAGCCTTTCTCCAAACAAACGTCTGATAGTTAAAGGCTAAAAGTTTCTGAAGAAACTGTGCTATTGCGTCGGTGGGGGTAACAAGGTAATTTGGTTATATCAACTAAGTTGAAATAGTAAATTAGCCACCGTAATAAATAAAAAAAGCTGACGTTTCGAGCGTTAGCCCTTCGTCTATCATAAACAACGGCGAACGCTCGTTTGTTTCTAATAGTCGCACATTTGTTACTGGTCACATTTAAAATCACGTGACATACTTTACCACTTACAACTAAAGCAGATGTATATACGAAGTTTAGATTAAGTGGTTGAAATCGTTGATTTTTACGAAGAAATAGCGATGTAAACTGCGTTCGAGTGTGTAGGCTCGTTTCCATGCTGATCCGTGAGCTGGCCAAGAAAACATCCCCTTAACTCGAAACGTATACCACAATTCAACTTTACGAACTACCTGGCTTTGATCAGGAGGTCTCTCTCTACAAGAATCAGGTGTCAATTATTTTCTGTGGCGATGGTTGAACGAAACTCCCATTTTTCGGTTTCTGCTCCCTGACTACTCATGTAAGCAATGGGTGCGGCCGAAATGAAGTTATTGTGACTTAGTCAATTTAATAATTCCGTGATTCAGGAGTTGACTTGTTTCTTTAGCCATTAGTTCTTATTGGCTCCTTGAAGAAAGGAAGTCGTTTTGAAGCTCTTTAAGTATATCACGCGAAAATTAAGTCCTACAGCTTTTTTTAAGTGAGACACACAAACAAAGGTGACCGTTCGAGACTTAAGCCTTAGTCTTGTACAGCTCATCTTTAATATTTGAATTAAACAACAAGTGAAACTCTTCGTTTTTACTTGAAAAATAATCTCCAAAGGACTGATTGTCATTTATAGGAAACATTTCGGCCGATTTCTTCAGAGATTGACATTCATTTGATCATTTACTAACGGGACGCACTAAGTCCAATATGATTTGCTCAAGGTTTATAATGGATGTACCCCAAGGACTGAGTTCTTTCTCTGTAAGGTTTACAACCATCAATTTTGTTAAGCTAATGGTCAGCTTATAAAGGTCGTTGTAAGAAAAGGTAACTATTCCAGACTCTTCAAGCGAGTCCGCAGTGACCAGGTTCGCTTGGTTTGCCGAACGACTCAAGCTTGTTGTCTGCTCCCATGGCAACTTTATATTACACCTGTCCAGTACTCTTTTACTGACCTGATATTTCAACCACGTAATTTGCTATTCATGCCTGAATCTTTCTTTGTTATTGTCCTGATCATGACACGCCGGAGTTTTCAAGTTTAACTTTTTTTTGTTTTGCTTTTTTTCTTTTTAAATCTTGACCTTGTTTAAGCATAATGAATTTAAAACTTTATCGCACCTGGAAGACGCCATGAAGTATGTTCTCGGGACATTTCATGAGTTACACACATGCGCAAAATTGTCCCTTCATATATTTATATCATTTAATCTTTTTTGGTTCAGTTGACCGCGAAATTCATCAGGCTACAGTTCGTTTCTTTAATTATTTAGTGGAACACAGCAGATTTATGGGACACCTAAATTCAAAACTCTTCTTTTTACATCAAAGATCCTGAGAAATCAAACGAAATTTCTCAACCGTGTGTTGCTCTGTAGAATCAATATCTGATATTTTATTTTATTTATATTTTATTTTATTTAGTTCATTTCACGAACTCCAATCTTCCTAACATTGTTTACAAATACAAGTATCTTCTTTAATGGAAATTATCAATCTATTTTGAAGGTTTTCAGTTATCAATTAAGCGTTTCCTCCATGCAGTTTCTTTTAGTATCAACAATGCGGGAAAGTAAAATTGCATTCGTGAAAAAAAGTTTACAAACTTCCAGTTCATTACGTTTTCACTAAACTGCCGACGGGGATATTTTATATACTTTGCCGATTGGTAAACATTTCCATGAGATTTCCTCATTCGTTTTGGCCTGATCGACATTATAAACTTCTTTACGCAGTGAATATGCACCCTAAACATAACTATTTCCTTTTCAAAACCGATTATTCTGAATTATTAATCGTCACTTGCCAAATTTTCCATTAAACTTGAAAGCATCTTTTGATTAATTCGACAACAGTAAAGAAAATGTGTTTTTATCAAATACAAAAACATCCTTTAAAAAGTCGCGATTTCGAAAAGGTGTTTCCCTCCAAAACTTGCAATAATATATAAAATTATTCTAATTATTTGAACTTCTTTGGTCATTAATATTACCAAAAAAGGACTTGTTTAAAGTCGCCTCGAGGGCGGAAAAGATCATTATTTGCATTTTTGATCCAGAAGAGAAAATTTGCATGGAAGTTCAGTTTCTTTTGATTAGAAACTTTTTCTTTATATCATGAAGGGAAATTACCTAAATTTGTGGACTGAGAATCAATATAGAACCAATCAATGCTCGTTTGTATCTACAAAATCGTAAATGACACCGAAATAAAATTACAAAAAAACTTGCATTTTCTAGTAGAAGCTGGAAAGTTTCTGTAAATACGACAAAATAAAGTTCGCATTCTGGGTAAACCTCTTGAACGGTTGAGATCAAAATTTTAATGATCTCACGCCTATAACCACCTGCCAGATCGTGAATCACCATAACAACTCTTTCTTAGAGCAATTTTGTCTGCTGTATTCTTATCGTTGTGATCGGTTTTTTGTCAACTTGTTGCTTTGACGAGCGCTTTTGTGATGAACGATGGGTTTCCTCAAAACCTTGCGCGTCAAAGGAGAAACAACTTACGGTTGGATGCGGTTGTAAAAAGGTGAAATGTTTGCAAGTGCATTCCGCCAAGTTGCTTATGGTTTAATTTTTTAAGCCAAAGACCATCTGTTTTTTAAACCATCTGTTTTGGAATATTTCTGTCTGCCAAATACAGTATCCCGGCGCTGTTTATTCTCTGGGTGAAAAACAAGCTGAAGAATAATGTACGGCAGCGACAAAGCAGAATTTCAGTTTGTAGTTTAACTTTTCCAAAAGCGACGATAGGCTAACAATTTTTGTCGGTTGAGAGTGTTCGCGATTCATTGGTCAAACCATGGAACAACAAATCAAGACAAATTGCCACATGTGGCCTAAATGATTGCTAAACATAACCGCACTTTATAAACGCTTTTAGAAGTTTCTTTGACCTCGTTTATAAATTCACTGGTAAATTGATTTTCATCCCGCATTGACGTATGCAAATTAGCTTGTTGCGTATTGTCTTTGTACGAAAACAGCCGAGACCATTATAAGTAACTAACTCATCGCAATTTCTGATCCGTAACATGGTGTTTCGAAATCTGCTGAAGTATAACGCGATAATTTTCTGTTTTCACGCTCCGCAGGGCTGCGACAAGTATTGGAAGCAATGTACGAGGTAGTGTTCACACATTAGCCGATAAATCCATGGCGTTGTGGGATAAAGTTCGCAAGCGATTGGGAAATTCGGAGAACTCGGCTGGATGCAGTTGTGGTCGAGAATACCCAAATAGTGAAAGTGTTTTTTACGAAGATTACTTCACGAGGTGAGCGGGAACGGTAATTGTTGGGTAAAGTTTACAGAAGTTACGGTTTTGTAGGTTTTTAAGTTACAACTGGTGGTAAAACACGCTCGGTCTAGAAAATGTCGAGTGGTTTTCAATATTTGAAAGTTATTTGGATGTTCTTTAAAGCTCGTTATTAGTTTGTTGCTAATCCGTCGAACGAGCGGTGGTCGTTTGGTTTCTAGGAGTAGTGTGAGGGAATGAAAACGACGTTTTTACTTGGGCAGTGAAAACAAACCGGTAACATTACTGGAATTTCCCCATGAAATCGCGAATTTAGTTATTGAATCGTAATGGACGATCATTTCCGGTGTGAGATCAGAAGTAAATCCGAATAAATGTTTTCCATGTTCGAAAGGGAGATATCCTTCGCAGAAGTTATGTTTACGCGCAACCAATTTTTGCCATGGGACGAGGTGAAAGAAGAGAAGAAAGGAAAAGATAAGCGCGCGTAAGACTGGGCTCTACAGCGTTTCTTATTTACAAAATGGCGGAGCTTTCATACAACTCCAGTTCTGGGTTGGAGCCCCATACAGTTCCTTTAAAAGAGAGGTAATTCCTTGATTGTTAAATTCAGAATTCATGTAAGAGATTCTATGCCGTTTGGTTTTATTTTAAAACTTGTGTATCAAAGCCAAGAATAGTCCGGCGAAAATTCAAAAGTTTTGAGCGACCATTATCGACTCCCGTAAGAAAACAGCTGTTTTGATATTTTGCGCTAGTTTTCCGCTAATTCAACTAAATTTCTCATTTCCCTCGGAGTTTTGGGGAACATTGAATGGGAAAAATTTAGTTCTGTATCTTTTAAGATTGATCTTGTCATCAGTTTAGCGGCCCGTTAGTTTATAGGGTTACTTATCTTACACAAGAATAATCCCTGAGGTTTTCAATTTGTTTTGACTGATATCACTTCTCCAATATTGAGATTTCTTGAGGTAAGTTTTAAATTTACAGAATTAATAACTCTAGAATAAAGAAGTTCATGCCTTCTTTCAAATTTCTCTAGTTGAAGAAGAAAAGTTTCTTCTATGTTTCAACTTTATTGTTGTTTTGATCTTTGTGATGATAATTATATTTCACTTTCCTCGGAAAATGCGTTTTTTACGGTCGGAGAAATTCTTGAACTTCCTATTGCATACGATAGAGAATTAGATTAGTTATTTAGAATTAAAGCAAGCGAAATGCTTGACTTATTAGTCATACATATAGAATTTGTCTAGACATGAGACAACTTACAACCACCTTTCATGTCTGTGGTTGATTTGATCGAAGTATATGATTTACAACCCAAAATGATGACATTGTGAAATGCAATGTATGATAGAAATCTGTAATGATGATAGAAGCGAATAAACTCCATGTGGCCAAAATCACAAGTTTTTTTAGCTTTATTAATTTATTGATGGTTCATGCTGAAGATATTTTATTGTCTTATTTTTCTTCAACAGCCAAAGAGTGTTTCTTTGTGGTATAAAAAAAAAAAAACCAAAATTGAAATTTGAGATAGAACTGAAATTTTTGCTTTGGTTAGTCAGTGCTAAAAATATTTAAAGTTGCAGAACAAAAATCCAGTAGATCTCTTTTGATAACTGGAGATGTGGAGGTTGCATATTTACATACAAGTAAATGAGCCTTTTTGGCCTCAAGAACAGGTATAAAAATAATGCAATTTTCACTCAAAAGTTAGGCTAAAAAGGCTTATTTACATGCATGTGGTTATTATTTTATATTGTGATTCAGTAAGCTTGGGTTATAATTTAGGAGTGCTACTCAACTGTTTTAAAATTGTATATGGAACAAGTTTTATATTTTCTCAATCACTGATGGTAGCAATATACTGTTTCTTAATTTCTAAATGAACAAAAACTTCTTGAAGAAGTTATGTCACACATAATGTAATACACTACTTTTAATCTGATGACAAAAATAACTCAGTAATAATAGAAATATTGATTGTATTATTAATTCACAGTTTAATTTGTTTCATTTTTCTCACTATTTCTATCAGATTTTCCTTGCTCCTGTTGGAGCCTGGAGAGATCTACTTCGAAGATTTTAGTGTTTTTCATTACCCAAGCCAATTGTCTGAAGAGGAAGCAATAAAAAGGTATACAAAGTCATGCATGTATTTGATTAATTTTAAACTCTCTTTCAGTGGAGTCTATTTACTACAGGTGATGTAGTCTAAGAGTTAGCACAGTACTTAAAACTGATTTGTATATGTATTGTGTTTTATTCACTGTGGTAATGAAATTAGTCAAAGCTTAGAATACTGCTATTTGATGGGTTCCAATCCATAACTGAGGTCACCCTTCTAGTATTTTGTCAGGTTTCCATGACAGTTTGTTGAAATTCATTTATTATCTGTTGGAGTGAGGCACTATAATTGATAGTTTCTTGTTCAAGAACACATCACTGTCAGCTTGATAGGGCTGAACTGTTTCTCCCACAAGTGTTTACTCAGTATTATAACTCTTTTATCAGATCCTTGCTTCCTCTGGGATGCCTGCCATTATTATATGATAATTGATTTAGAATAGAATACTATTGTTTATCACTCAGACGTGATATCTGGATGAGACATTAGATCACAAATAAAATTTATTGCAGGAAAAACACAGTTTTTGTGAAAACATGTAATTTTTTTTAATTATTTACTGACGTATTGTCATCTTTGAATTATATTTATTTTTAAGGAAACAAAGAGGAAGATTAAAGATTTGTTCGAAGTCTATTCTTTTTGACCCTATTGATACATCTTACCCAATTTTAAAGGTATACATTTAGTTGAAATTATCTCTGGTTTTGAATTTATAAGTTTTCTGTAAGTTTTCTTTCCAATGCTAAGCTTGATCTGTATTGACCACGTGTTAGTGATAATAATTTTGACAGTTAACTGGATACATTATAAAATATTGTCAGGTGCCTAGATTGTTTTACATGCCAATAATACTTTTTTTTTTAGAGACTCTCAATACTTGAAGTGTTGGTTACCAGGTTTCCTTTGGTTTCCCAACTTTATTGTTGAATTTTCAATTGTGTTTTTAGTTTCCGCTCAGAGAGTGCATTGCAATAACTCATTGGTCTGGATCTCTCATGTCAAGGTGAGGTGACATTGCTGGGCAAAGACATCTACATGACTTGTATTTAAAAAATTGATGAACAAAAGTAAGTTTGTTTTCTTTCCAACAGAATTGACACCAAAGGAGATGTTCTGGCAATTGAGTCTAAGCAGGTCATAGAAATGAAGGAAGGAAACACAATAGCTCCTTATACATTTAGAAGAGTGAGTAGCCATATCTTGTAATATGTGAAGGTCTCACTTGTTGGTCAAACTGATCTTGTATGAATTAACCTGTTATTCGCTGTTTTTTTCTTCTAATAGGAAAAAGCCAAGTATTTATTTTCGTTCAATTTTGTAGCTTTGAATTTTGTATTACCCCAGTTAGAACAGGTGGGTTATCTCCATTTGAGAGTAAGAATTGTATTCTAAGTTGTTTATTACTAATTGAAAATATATACTCCACTGAATTTTCATTCTAACCTATCTTTATTTTACTTTTTCAAGGTGAATACTTTGTTCTTTCATCAGCTGCAGTAGTTTTGAGGAATAATTATTTGTTTTCCTTCCCAACAGCTTCACAGAGCAACTACTCTTATGCCAGCTGATCAACAAGCTATGGTATGTCTGAGTTAACTTTGTCACTATAGATAATCATCAGGGTAGTCTTGAGGCTGTCTCTTGTTTGCTTATTGTTTAACTGGAAGTACGTGTCACATTTTAAAACTAGCCAAAAAAATTCAAATTGCTGTGGCTTGTCTTAAGTACTTAAAAGTACTGGTAGTTGTTTACAACAGTTTTAAAAGTTATCTAATATGTACTCTGTTTCCACTCCCACTTTTTTCCCACTTACCTAGATCAATTCAATTGTACAATCAAGACAAGCTAGAGTTAGTTTTAACACAAGTTGGTGAGTAAATAATAATTGTTTTAATTGTGATGCTCAATGATTTTGCTTGAAAATTCTGAAAGGTATTTGATGGGTCTCTGGATATTGATGAATGGCTGCACCTGCACATAGCCTCATCTAAACACCTGGGGATGGGGGGTAGGGGAAGGCTGGGACAATTCTAGTAAGTTATACAAACCTTCAGTTGCATCCAGTGCTGGAAATTAGCAGTCGTCTGGTCATCCTAGACGACCAAAAAGTTTACCGGGTAACCAATTTTTAGTAAAATTAAGAGGCTGGTTGTCCTGAGAAAAAACAATGGACAACCCAGCCAAAAATAGAAAATAAAGTAACCATGAACAGCACCTGACCTACGTGATGGTTTTGTTTTGTCTATGTCCAGTAGTGTGAAGTTAATAATAATTTGCCTCAGCTAAGCATTTTCCTGTGTTTTGGATATCTGTAAATTTTATAAAACATTTCCAGGTACAAAAATGTAAGAGACAAACACAAGTTTGTTTTCTGGAGGCGATCAAGACAAAGACGCCATTTTGAATATGCCACAACTTAAACCCAGACTTCCGCGAAAACCATTGCCACACACTAAGAACTGTGGGATTAGTTCAAGCTTGACCGCCATAAGATTACATCTCAAGCTCTACACGGCATAAAAATGGATGTTTTTTGAGTAGTGCACTTAAATGTGTGCAGGGTTTTTCTACCGGGCAACCAAGGATTCATCAGGGCAAACAAATTCACGGCTTTGGTTGCCTGGCTTTTGTAATAGGGACAACCTGGGTTTTTTTTTTAATTTTGAGCACTGTGCATCTCTGGGTTTGCAGTTGTTGCATATCCTCCCATCTTCCTTAGTGTTTATATAAGGCTTTAAATTCCAAAGAAACTGCCAAATGATGTTCTAAATAATTAATTTAAGTGAAACTTAACTACTTTGTAAATGTTATTCATTTTGACTTCTGCAGGTTAGAAGATTTGCATGAAAAAATTGTTATGGAAACAATGGGTATGTCAGTCAACATGTATTAGTAAAACCACCTGATAATTCTTTTTGACATAATGTTAAGTAAAAGACAAGTGGAAACATCGATGCTGGCCAAGGCAATGTTATCTTTTCCTAAACTGCATTGTACAAGTTTTTAATAGAACTTGATACAAACTGATTCAGGATCCAACATTTCACACTATTTACAATGTGTATGATTACATGTCAGCTTGAATTAGTAATGCAATAGATGAAAAAAATCAAAGAAGAGTTACACAAAAAAGAGAAAAAGGAGAGGTGTATAATAGAAATTATTAAAAACTGGATCATTGGATAATGCAATTCAAGACTTTTTATTGGCTTAGCCATTATGGTATATGAGCCAATATACCATAATCTACAAATATGGTAAGCATATGCATGAGCTTAAAATTAAAAGGAGCTAAAAAATTTAGTAAAATTTAATAATTTAATTTAATGTTTTTAATAAAACAATTATTCCACTCGCACTTGTTGGATATGAGATGATTATAGCTACGCTTCTCATTGGCTATCTATCATCTCATATCCAATGCGCGCTTGTGGAATAATTGTTAAATATAATATGTAACGATTTCTTTTGAAATGTTGCCACTTCGAATAAAAGAAGAGTAGGAGTCTGAGATTTACAATGGCCCAAGATTTATAATTATTTTAGCTTCCCCATACTTAATCTAACTCCATTGAAAACTCAGAGCTAATTTTGTTTGTTTTTTTTTTTTTCTGTTATTTCAGCCAAACGAATCACCCCTCTCATTGGCTATCTATCATCTCATATCCAATGCGCGCTTGTGGAATAATTGTTAAATATAATATGTAACGATTTCTTTTGAAATGTTGCCACTTCGAATAAAAGAAGAGTAGGAGTCTGAGATTTACAATGGCCCAAGATTTATAATTATTTTAGCTTCCCCATACTTAATCTAACTCCATTGAAAACTCAGAGCTAATTTTGTTTGTTTTTTTTTTTTTCTGTTATTTCAGCCAAACGAATCACCCCTCTTGTTTGCAATCCAGGTCGCATCATGCTAACTTCTTCCAGATTATACTTTCAGCCATTTAACAATGCTGACCCGGTGAGTTCCTCCAGCTGTACTTCATAACAATGTTACTTTATTTTGATTATGGTATTCATACTAAGAACAACTTGAATACTTAAAATGAAAGGTCGTGTTCAAGAACAACATCTACAATATTAAATCAAACGACAAATTTCAAAAATCTTCTTTCTCTAACTAATGCAATTCAGATTGCTTGTTGCAATGGATATAAAATGAACATTTTCTATACTTTCAGTGCCCAGTTGTAAAGTGCAAATTGTCTAAAATCTGCAGAGTTGTGAAAAGGAGATATCTTCTCAGACATGTGGTATGTATAATCTTTACATTGAATTACTATGAACATTTCAATGAATTATGTTCCTTGGAGAGAAAGGTGCATGAAATATGCTATTAATGTGGGCATAAACAGTCAACTGATTCATCTACAATGCTAAACTGACTTGCTCATTTCTTCATAAACAGAATGGTTAAGTTGTCAGAATTTTATGGTTGTAAAGCACAGACAGAGTGCAATGTTAATGCAGATGGAGTTGTCTTTGAAGACTGATACGTTTTTTGTTGTCATCACAGACTGTAATTATCATTCAGTGTTTATCTTGTGCTCAACAATGTTTGTAAAATCTCTTTCTTTCTTTTTTTTTTTCTTAGGGGGTGGAGGTGTTTTCAGCTGATGGCTCTCATATGTATCTAATATTCAACTCTCCAACAGAGAGGGATTTGTTTTTTGAAAAAATTGTTCAGCAACCAGGTTCAGTGATCACTTTTTTATATTAAACATTAGCCTAAAAAAACTTAAGCCTCCTTCACAGAGGAGGGTTGTTGTTTGACCAGCGTGTTGCATTACAAGGTTGTTGCGTGACGTTCAAGTTGTTGCTTTGTTACTTTCAATAGCTGCCTCTTCTCACTTTTGGTCCGGCATGCATCAGCATAATGCCACTGGGACCCATTTGTCTAGGATAAGGTCTTTTCAACTAAAAGTTAGACAAATTAATCTTAAACGTGCCTGAAGCCATTCTAACAAAAATGTCTTAGGGAAGGTTGAAGACAGCTTACCCACAGGTACCATAAAAGATTGCCAAGAAAACGAGGGTAAGGTCAACAGCTCACTTACTATTTCGCCTTTTTTTTCTGCAGAAGTTGAATTGGAAGACACAAGACAAGAGAACATGACGTTAAGATGGCAGAATGGAGCGATTTCAAATTTTGAATATTTAATGTACCTAAATAGGTTAGTTAACGAGTGTGGTAAACTTTGAATGAGTTGTTGTGCTTTGTGTAACTATTTTTTACTCTTTTACCGCCTTTTCCTGCTCTTGAGGCCGTTTACATCTATTAACTTGATTTCTCATTGGCTTTTTTTGATAAATTTCTCTGTTCTGATTGAAAATCTGTAAGTGACTCGTTCAAAATTCACTGAGTACTTCACTTGCTCTGACTGTTTTACTGACTTTTAGTTTAGCAGATAGAAGTTTCAATGATCTCACACAGTATCCAGTATTCCCTTGGGTTATATCAGACTACAAGAGTGTAGAGCTTGGTATGTTCTCAGCTCTATTAATTTCATATATAATTTGTTAGACGCCACCACTGCAAATATTTCAGAAACAGAAGCGTAACAGATCTCTGTCGTTAGTTTTTGGGAGGCAAGTTGCAAGTCGCTCTTTTACAACTTTCTAACTACTATTGTGTTGTTTTAACATCCTAATATTCTAATCTTAAATCTCATATTGAACGCAACTGAAGCAATTAGAATAGTTCAATTTTTTGAGAAATTCTCCTTGTGTACATTCAAGAGTGACTTATACAAACTAACCTGAGTTGAATTTTGTTTTTTTTAGATTTCGAAAATGGAGAAACATTCCGGGATTTATCCAAACCAATAGGAGCACTGAATGAAACAAGATTAGCTCAACTAAAGGTATAGAGCATGGCTCGACACTAACGGTAGCCCGCTAGCCACAGACTAGTAGAAATTCAGTTTTGGCTAGTGGTTTTCAATTTCCACTAGCCAGTTTGGTTAGTAAACTGACTGAAATTATCGTAACATCTAAAAACATCTAAGATGTCACTAGTCACTTGGCTAGTAAGTTGAAAAATTAGTGTCGAGCCCTGTTAAGAGTTTGACATGTACAGGGTATCTAAATGATACTGTATGGCCGTTTGGGGATATGACTTTTGCCATCTCAAGTTCGTGATATTATTAAGAGATGCTGTCAGAATAAGAATCGTATCCTCAAGCAGCTGTGCAGTTTTATTTTCATTAAACAGAAGAAAACAAGCATCTGATAGAAATATATGAAATTCTCAACCTGAAGACCTTGTTTCGCCCGCAGGAAATGTTTTTTCATTTCATGTACGTACTGAACATTTTCCTTGCTGAAGAAAATTTAATGTATTGCCAATAGCAGACGAATTCGACTTCTTTTATGTTGGTAAACTGAGCAATCTCTTCTTAAAGGCGTTAACACCTTCAGCTGATTGATTTGACGACATGATGATGTTGAAAATGAAAAAAAAAAAGTCATCTTTTATCGACAGAGGAAATTTTGTATATCAGTAATTTCTTTAAAACTAAGACTAGGTTTACACTAGAG